ATCTTGAAAAAAGTATTTTGTTGTTACTAGTATTACCCTACAGAGTTATAAGTTTTGGAAGCAGAAATTTGCACATTCTTGCTTATTACCTAGTGAACATTTGTTCATTATACTAAAGGGTCACCCCCAAGGGTGACTGGATAATAGAAATATGGTCACCATTGGTCTTCCTCCGACCGTCGGTAAAACCCTCGCTAAAGTGGGGCGTCCGTTTGGCTGTGCGGGATGTACAAATTCGCAGTCACGTCCGGTCAGAATGGGGACGTTAAATCCGATGCCTCGTGTAAAGAGAGTGCCACGTTCTTTGCACGTAAAGAACCCTTGCAACAACTCTTTGAGGGGTCCGTAGATGGCCTGTTGCAAGGCTAAATTTCTGTCCTTATCCAATTTACCCTCATTTTCCGTGGCAGTCCAAATTTCCCCGACCTTCATCCCGGACGGCCTTTATTACAGGACCTACCTATTGTATGTATTGTTAATTTGTTCTCGTCCTGAATATGCATGAAATATTTGCCACTGGACGTTAAGCAACCAACAATCAATCAATACTAAAGGGTCATATCAAAGACTTGAAATTTGTATTTATTTCTTTTTTGAAGAGTACACCTCATATATAGGGAAGGCCAAAGGCTAATTTACTGGAAAATAAATGTTCTAGTTGGGTTAAATACTTTCCTGCTTGGTGTTGTGTACTATCACCATTATGAACAAAAAGACACACTTAATACCTAAATCTACACCAACATTCACTGCCAATAACCATGTTCATACATTTGAATATTTCATCTTAAACTATAAATTTTATGAGATTTTTGTTTATTTTTAAATATGGTAGAATTATCAATAGAAAAAGTGACCGATTTAAGGTTACATCTGATTCAATCATCTAAAAGTGGTCAAATTTACTGTAAAATGTAGTATAATTGTACATAAGCAGTGGCAGGTTTGCTGTTACATATTATAAAATTATCTAAAGACTCTTTCTGATTGGACAAATAAACACATAATGCATGGACTTTACTGAGCCACATATATAATGGAAAATGAAGACTCTTTCTGATTGGACAAATAAACACATTATGTATGGACTTGCCTAAGCCACATATATAATGAAAAATTCTGATAGGACAAACAAGCACATTATGGATGGACTTTACTGAGTCACATATATAATGGAAAATAAAGACTCTTTCTGATTGGACAAATAAACACTTTATGCATTGACTTTACTGAGCCACATATATAATGGATAATAAAGACTCTTTCTGATTGGACAAGTAAACACATTATGTATGGACTTTAATGAGCCACATATATAATGGAAAATAAAGACTCTTTCTGATTGGACAAATAAACACTTTATGCATGGACTTTACTGAGCCACATACATAATGGAAAATAAAGACTCTTTCTGATTGGACAAATAAACACTTTATGCATGGACTTTACTGAGCCACATACATAATGGAAAATAAAGACTCTTTCTGATTGAACAAGTAAACACATTATGTATGGACTTTACTGAGCCACATATATAATGGAAAATAAAGACTCTTTCTGATTGGACAAATAAACACATTATGTATGGACTTTACTGAACCACATATATAATGGAAAATAAAGACTCGGACAAATAAACACATTATGTATGGACTTTACTAAGCCACATATATAATGGAAAATAAAGACTCTTTCTGATTGGACAAATAAACACTTAATGCATGGACTTTACTGAGCCACATATATAATGGAAAATAAAGACTCTTTCTGATAGGACAAACAAGCACATTATGTATGGACTTTACTGAGCCACATATATAATGGAAAATAGAAAATAAAGACTCTTTCTGATTGGACAAATAAACACTTAAAGCATGGACTTGACGGAGCCACAAATATAATGGAAAATAAACTCTTTCTGATTGGACAAATAAGCACATTATGTATGGACTTTACTGAGCCACCTATATAATGGAAAATAAACTCTTTCTGATTGAACAAATAAACATTTAGGGGCCAGCTGAAGGACGCCTCCGGGTGCGCGAATTTCTCGCTACATTGAAGACCTGTTGGTTACCTTCTGCGGTTTTTTTTTTATTTGGTCGGGTTGTTGTCTCTTTGACACATTCCCCATTTCCATTCTTAATTTTACTTTATGCATGAACTTGACGGAGCCACAAATAAATGGAAAATAATGACTCTTTCTGATAGGAAAAATAAGCACATTATGTATGGACTTTACTGAGCCACATATATAATGGAAAATAAATAAAATTGAGAATGGAAATGGGGAATGTGTCAAAGAGACAACAACCCGACCAAATAAAACAAGAGTGCACACACTGAAATGTCTCGCCTTCTTTACTTATCATTGATATTATGTTGATAGTCCTAATAATAAAGCTTTATTACAACTGTCACATAAACTTAACATAAACCAAGAAAACTAAACATTGACCTTTGAACCATGAAAATGAGGTCAAGGTCAGATGAACCATGCCAGGTAGGCATGTACAGCTAACAATTCTTCCATACAACAAATAAAATTGACTTATTGCTTATAGTTTTAAGAAAAACAGACCAAAACACAAAAGCTTAACACTGAGCAATGAACCGTAAAAAATGAGGTCAAGGTCAAATAAAACCTGCGCGACTGACATGTAGATCATGAAATATTTCCATACACCAAATATAGTTGACCTATTGCATATAGTATTAGAAAAAAAAAGGCCAAAACTCAAAAACTTAACTTTGACCACTGAACCATGAAAATGAGGTCAAGGTCATATGACACCTGCCAGGTAGACCTGAACACCTTACAACCATTCCATACACAAAATATAGAAGACCTATTGCATACAGTATAAGAAAAACAGACCAAAACACAAAAACTCAACTAAAACCACTGAACCATGAAAATGAGGTGAAGGTCAGATGACACCTGCCAGTTGGACATGTACACCTTACAGTGCTTCCATACACCGAATATACTAGACCTATTGCTTTTAGTATCTCAGATATGGACTTGACCACCAAAACTTAACCTTGTTCACTGATCCATGAAATGAGGTCGAGGTCAAGTGAAAACTGTCTGACAGGAAAGAGGATCTTGCAAGGTACGCACATACCAAATATAGTTATCCCATTACTTATAATAAGAGAGAATTTAACATTACAAAAAATCTTAACTTTTTTTTCAAGTAGTCACTGAACCATGAAAATGAGGTCAAGGACATTGGACATGTGACTGACGGAAACTTCGTAACATGAGGCATCCATATACAAAGTATGAAGCATCCAGGTCTCCCACCTTCTAAAATATAAAGCTTTTAAGAAGTGAGCTAACACCGCCGCCGCCGTAGCCGCCGCATCACTATCCCTATGTCGAGCTTTCTGCGACAAAAGTCGCAGGCTCGACAAAAACTACAGCAGAAGGTCACCAACAGGTCTTCAATGTAGCGATTATTGAGACGTATAGATACCCTTTGAACAAGTTTAGTATTTAGTATTTTTCCATTTCTAAGCTTCATAACTGTTTTGATAGTGAATTATATAATAAAGGAGCAAAGATTGGCGTCCAGAATATGAACCAGCATACAATAATTTAAGTTATGTAAAATTGATAAATTGATAAAGACGCTTTCTGATTGGAAAAATAAACGTATTATGTATGGACTTTACTGAGCCACATATATATAATGGAAAATAAAGACGCTTTCTGATTGGAAAAATAAACACATTATGTATGGACTTTACTGAGCCACATATATAATGGAAAATAAACTCTTTCTGATTGGACAAATAAACACTAAATGCATGGACTTTACTGAGCCACATATATAATGGAAAATAAAGACTCTTTCTGATTGGACAAATAAACACATTATGTATGGACTTACTGAGCCTCATATGTAATGGAAAATAAAGACTCTTTCTGATTGGACAAATAAACACAGTGGCAGATCCAGAAATTTTCATAAGTGGGGGCCCACTGACTGACATAAGAGGGGGCCCGCCCCAGTCACGCTTCAGTGATTCCCTATATAAGCAACCAAATTTTTTCCCAAAAAGGGGGGGCCCGGCCCGGGCCCCCCTAAATCCGCCTCTGAAACACATTATGTATGGACTTTACTGAGCCTCATATATAATAGAAAATAAAGACTCTTTCTGATTGGACAAATAAGCTGTGTATGGACTTTACTGAGCCTCATATATAATGGAAAATAAAGACTCTTTCTGATTGGACATGTAAACACATTTTGTATGGACTTTACTGAGCCACATATATAATGGAAAATAAACTCTTTCTGATTGGAAAAATAAACACATTATGTATGGACTTGCCTTAGCCCTATATGAGTATTTCCAACCCCCAAACAATGCATATTTGAAATATGAAAATACATATCAATGGTACCAGGCTTATAAATTAAATTACACCAGACACATTTTTCGTCTATATAAGACTCATTAGTGACGCTCGAATCTAAATAATTGAAAGGCCAAATAAATAACAAATTTGAAGAGCATTGAAGACCAAAAGTTGTGCCAAATACGGCTAATGTAATCTGTGCCTGGATGTAGAAATCCTTAGTATTTCGAATAATTCATAGATTTTAAACAATTAATTTATAAAAATAACAAAACCATTGTTATTTCATGTCAACACTGAAGTGATGACAACTGGGCTGGTGATACCCTCGGGGACGAAACGTCCACCAGCAGTGGCATCAACCCAAGGTATCCAAGGTACCAGGCATATAAATTATATAACGCCAGACGTCTATTAAAGACTCATCTTTGACTCAATTGAAGGTATCTTCGAATACACAATATATCAAATTTTTTTTTAAGATATTGCTGATTCACATGGACCAATCATAAGTCATCTAGGGTGACATCAATAGATAACCTTACATTATGCACACTAGACACCAATCACATGGACACATTAAAAGACTCTTTGGGACTGGACAAAGACTCTTACAACAAACAAAGAATTGCAGTGAACATATTTATTTAGAAATATGAAATACAATGTATTTGAAACCTTTCAGCAATAAAGTGTAAATATGAATATGAATGATACAATTAATAATGCAACCAGAGCTACTAAAAACCACGTTGCCCTCTGCCATTTCTTCATTGTATTTGTTGCCCTTTCAAAGTCATTCTCTGCAATCATTAATCGAACAAGAAGGCTAGAATGATTGTTTATACTACATTTATAACTTGTATTTTCCAAAGTGTTCATATCAATTGTTTCAGCCATCATTAGCTGAAGAAATGGAAGCAAAACAGTGTGTTTGTTAATGTCAGCATAGGTCAGACAGCAACAACTTCCTGTCGTGCCCAATGCATAAAAAATGTCAATAATTTATGTGTCTTTTAAATCCCCTATAACTTTAAGTGTCTATGCAGTCCCTAAGGAAAAAATGGACCCTTTCTGTTTGGGAAACAAACAATGTATTACTTCTTAAATGAAGGTCAGCCGATAAGAACTAACCAGATGCTCCGTAGGGCGCAGCTTTATACGACCGCAGAGGTTGAACCCTGAACGGTTGGGGAAAGTATGGACACAACATTCAAGCTGGATACAGCTCTAAATTTGGATTGTGATTAAATAGTTGACACAGCATAGGTTTCTGACACAGAATGAATGTGGTCTAATGAACTTAAAAAAAATTTTTGCCTTTGAAATCTGAAATGAGAAAAATTGACCCCCGCCCCAATTTTGTTTTCACATCCCCCTTTCCCTTATTCCAAAACTGATATCAATTCAAATTTCTAATGGAGTTTGCAACAATAAATGCTCATTTGAATACATCATAAAATATTAAAATGTAAAAAAAAGTGCTTGTTATCACTGAATGGTAAAGTTTGTGTTAATTTATCAGTTGGTAGTAAAAGTGAAAATACATTGTATATTGTATAAATCAATGATTTAAGTTGATTCAACTACTATTGCACAAATATCTATTCTGGACAAAGAAAGATAACTCCAATTGAAAATTTCTTGCTATTGCACAATATTGTGCAATGAGATATTTCTTGCTATTGCGCAATACTGTCAATTGAAGATTTCTTGCTATTGAACAATACTGTGCAATTGAAAATTTCTTGCTATTGCACAATACTGTGCAATTGAAAATTTCTTGCTATTGCACAATACTTAATATAATAATTTTGAATCCTGATTTGGACCAACTTAAAAACTTTGCCCATAATCAAAAATCAAAGTACATGTTTAGATTCAGCATATCAAAGAAGTCCAAGAATTTACTTTTTGTTAAAATCAAACTTAGTTTAATTTTGGACCCTTTGGACCTTAAAGAAGACCAATTTGTAAAAGGGACCAAAAATTAAGAATTTACTAACACAGTTAGATTTGGCATATCAAAGAACCCCAATTATTCAATTTTTGATGAAATCAAACAAAGTTTAATTTTGGGCCCCGATCTGGACCAACTTGAAAACTGGGCTTATAATCAAAAATCTAAGTACATTTTTAGATTCAGCATATCAAAGAACCCCAAGGATTCAATTTTTATTAAAATCAAACTAAGTTTGATTTTGGACCCTTTGGACCTTAATGTAGACCAATTTGAAAACGGGACCAAAAATTAAGAATCTTCATACACAGTTAGATTCGGCATATCAAAGAACCCCAATTATTCAATTTTTGATGAAATCAATCAAAGTTTAGTTTTGGACCCTTTGGGCCCCTTATTCCCAAACTGTTGGGACCAAAACTCCCAAAATCAATCCCAACCTTCTTTTTATGGTCATAAACCTTGTGTTTAAATTTCATAGATTTCTATTTACTTATACTAAAGTTATGGTGCGAAAACCAAGAAAAATGCTTATTTGGGCCCCTTTTTGGCCCCTAATTCCTAAACTGTTGGGATCTCAACTACCAAAAATCAATCCCAACCTTCCTTTTGTGTTCATAAACCTTGTGTTTAAATTCCATTGCTTTCTATTCATTTATACTAAAGTTATTGTGCAAAAACCAAGAATAATGCTTATTTGGGCCCTTTTTTGGCCCCTTATTCCTAAATAGTTGAAACAAAAACTCCCAAAATCAATCCCAACCTGCCTTTTGTGGTCATAAACCTTGTGTCAAAATTTCATAGATTTCTATTTACTTTAACTAAAGTTATAGTGTAAAAACCAAGAAAATGCTTATTTGGGCCCTTTTTGGCCCCCAATTCCTAAAATGTTGGGACCAAAACTCCCAAAGACAATCCCAACCTTCTTTCTGTGGTTATAAACCTGGAGTTTAAATTTCATAGATTTCTATTCACTTTTACTCAAGTTAGAGTGCGAAAACTAAAAGTATTCGGACGACGACGACGACGCCAACGTGATAGCAATATACGACCAAAAAATTAAAATTTTTGCGGTCGTATAAAAATGATAACTTTCATCCAAATTGACAGCTATGCCTTTTATAGGACTAGACAAATTATCCTTGCTAAATGAATCAAGATTGCTTTGACAGATTGGTCGACCTCTATTATTTTGTATACACAAGCAATTTCCAGTACCAAATCGAACTACAATTAATGGACTATTTTTAATTCTTATATGAGGTTCTTCTTTAGCTTTAGATATAAAGCCATATTCTAATCAAATAAAACATGGGGTGCACGTGATTGACGTATCAATCGAAAATGCAACGTCAGATGAATTTTAAACAACAGAGATAAAAATTGACACTTTTGTTGATGTTGCTCGCAAGGAAATCAAATAAAAACATTTCTTAAAGTTTGAATGTTTCTATCCTTTTTTTATTGTTAAACTGTTTTTCTTCAACGATTTTGGTACATCAAATCAAATTGGCGACACTTTGGCCATGTATTATAAGCCCACTTCTAAGTACAAATGTTTCAAGATAATCTTATTAGAATTGAAACAATTCTATCATGCCATGCTCTATGTTCATTTTAACATGGGTAGGCATTATATTTGTAAACATGTAATACCTCACTAAAACTCAGTATTAAGATATTGACAAATATAATGCCTACCCATGTTAAAATGAGCATAGAAAATGGCATGAAAGAATTTTTTCTTAAATAAATATCATTATACCTAATACTGATAATGTTTGAAATAACATCTTTGCAGAAGACTCACTAAACACCATTGAATACAGAGAAAGTATTAAAGATTGCTAATAATAATGATTGTTGATAAGTCATACCAGTGATTTGAGTGGACACTAACACACAATTGTCAGGACTATCAAAATGAGCACTAATTGAACATAATTATAAATATTTACACATAGATGCTATTAATATGTATAAATGCAATATTTCTTCTTGCTAAAGCAAAACTAACCTTTACAAATTTTTTCACAATCCTGACATTATTGACATGTTTTTTTAAGAAAAACTTTTGCTGTCAAATGAAAACCAAATTAAGACGGAAGTTTTTCTTCTCTCTCACTTTTTATGATTCATATTACTGATCTTTTTAATAATTTTGTCGTAAGATTGCATCCAAATTTCTCCTGGTTCTTTCTTGTTTTTCTTTCCTCATTAGTTCTCGGACAGATACACTAACACACAATTGACTTTCAAAATGACCACCAATTTTCTTGATGGGATATAGAACATAATTATAAATATTTACACACAAATGCATTAATATGTATAAATGCAATATTTCTTCTTGCTAAAGGAAAACTAACCTTTACAAATTTTGACACACTCCTAACACTATTGTCATGTTTTTTAAAGGAATAACTTTTTCTGTCAAATGAAAATCAAATTAAGACGAAAGTGTTTCTTCTCTCTCACTTTTTATCATTCATATTACTGATCTTTTTAATAATTTTGTCGTTAGATCACATCCAAATTTTTCCTAGTTCTTTCTTGCTTTTTTTTTTTGCTTTCTCTCTATCCTATCAGTTCTCAGACAGATACACTAGCACACAATTGACTTTCAAAATGACCACCAATTCTCTTGATGGGTAATAGAACATAATTATAAATATTTACACATAAATGCTATTAATATGTATAAATGCAATATTTCTTCTTGCTAAAGCAAAACTAACCTTTACAAATTTTGTCACACTCCTGACATTATTGACATGTTTTTCAAAGGAAAACTTTTTTCTGTCAAATGAAAATCAAATTAAGACCGAAGTCTTTCTTCTCTCACTTTTTATGATTCATATAACTGATATTTTTAATAATTTTGTCGTTAGATCGCATCCAAATTTTTCCTAGTTCTTTCTTTCTTTCTCTACCGCATCAGTTCTCGGACAGATACACTAGCACACAATTGACTTTCAAAATGACTACCAATGTTCTTGATGGGATATAGAACAATGCTATTTATATGTACAAATGCAATATTTTTTCTTGCTAAAGCAAAACTAACCGTTACAAATTTTGTCACACTCCCGACATTATTGACATGTTTTTTAAAGGAAAGCTTTTGCTGTCAAATGATAACCAAATTAAAACAGAAGTTTTTCTTCTCTCTCACTTTTTATGATTCATATTACTGATCTTATTAATAATTTTGTCATAAGATTGCATCCAAATTTTTCCTGGTTCTTTCTTGCTTTTCTTACATTATTTTTTTGAACAAAAATTAGGGTCAGATTTTTTTTTTTCTAAAGATCCCTCCTCTCTCCATTTCCCTCGAAAAAATTTGGTCCGTGCCTGAAAACTTCACCTGCAGCTTCCAGTATTAAATTCTTGAAAAAATACACGCGCCTCTGCTAAAAGCAGTTTTTCAATCGTAAACTCTCCCCAGCTATCGAAGCAAAGTAGCCAACCATTATCATACTGATGAATGTGGCCATCAAATGACGAAATTGCACTTGTTTCTTCTGATTTCAAAACAAAAATCGATGGCATATTAAAAATGTATCGATCACCGGAAATAACTTACGCCACATAAAAAGAGGATAGCTTTATTACTTCTTAATGGGTAGTAACAACTCATAGAAAATACTCACTTATTTCGACGTTTTCTGTTTCCCACCATTATGGCCATCAAAATTACTCGTAACTTATAATTCATATTACTGATCTTTTTAATAATTTTGTCGTTAGATCACATCCAAATTTTTCCTAGTTTTTTCTTGCTTTTATTTTTGGCTTTCTCTCTATCCTATCAGTTCTCAGACAGATACACTAGCACACAATTGACTTTCAAAATGACCAACAATTCTCTTGATGGGTAATAGAACATAATTATAAATATTTACACATAAATGCTATTAATATGTATAAATGCAATATTTCTTCTTGCTAAAGCAAAACTAACCTTTACAAATTTTGTCACACTCCTGACATTATTGACATGTTTTTCAAAGGAAAACTTTTTTCTGTCAAATGAAAATGAAATTAAGACCGAAGTCTTTCTTCTCTCACTTTTTATGATTCATATTACTGATATTTTTAATAATTTTGTCGTTAGATCGCATCCAAATTTTTCCTAGTTCTTTCTTTCTTTCTCTACCGCATCAGTTCTCGGACAGATAAACTAGCACACAATTGACTTTCAAAATGACCACCAATTTTCTTGATGGGTAATAGAACATAATTATAAATATTTACACATAAATGCTATTAATATGTATAAATGCAATATTTCTTCTTGCTAGAGCAAAACTAACCTTTACAAATTTTGTCACACTCCTGACATTATTGACATGTTTTTTAAAGGAAAACTTTTTCTGTCAAATGAAAATCAAATTAAGACGGAAGTTTTTCTTCTCTCTCACTTTTTATGATTCATATAACTGATCTTTTTAAAAATTTTGTCGTTAGATCACATCCAAATTTTCCCTAGTTCTTTCTTGCTTTTCTTTTTGACTTTCTCTCTACCCCATCAGTTCTCGGACAGATACACTAACACACAATTGACTTTCAAAATGACCACCAATTTTCTTGATGGGTAATAGAACATAATTATAAATATTTACACATAAATGCATAAATATGTATAAATGCAACATTTCTTCTTGCTAAAGCAAAACTAACCCTTTACAAATTTTGTCACACTCCTAACACTATTGTCATGTTTTTTAAGGAATAACTTTTTCAATTTGAGGTCGCTCCCTTAAGTTCTATACCTTTTGTGAATACAATTAGAAGCAGATAACTACCTGTTATGTCAATGTCTTCCAGTTTCTTCCCAGCATATTTCTTTGTCAGATTCATGTCCTGCACCAACATTAACTCTTTCAATAAAACCAGACATCTGGCGATAGTGGGTCTTGTGTACATTTGCACTGTGTCCCAAGTGTCGACAAACCCATTCCAACTGGTTTCCATCAAGATTCAGCATCTAGAAAATATTCATAAAAATTAGCAATCAGTTGGAATTAATATCATGTGTTTTCCATCAGAACGATTGTTACTTCTTTCAAACTTTAAAGCAATACTATACAGTCATTGGACCAACTGACTCAAGTCTAAATCAGTTTGGACTTCTTTAGGTTATTTATCATACATGTTTCTTTGGAAAATCAAACACTTATATGTTAATATCTCTTTACAACAAAATCCCATAGGGAGAAAATATCTTGAACTTGCAGCATGTGGTTGCAAATAAAAGTGTGACTTAATACTTAGTGACACAGGACTAAATTTCAACCTGGGCCACCAGTATTTTGCAATCCTATTTTTTTTCTTTCTTTTTTTCAAAGGTATATATGTTGTGTACAAGTTGTAATGTTGTTTTTTTGTACAAGTTATCAGTGTTTTATGAACTTCCTAACACACATTGATGATGCAAGCACACAGTCTTTTGTTTCGCACATTTCTGTCAGATCTCCACAATAAAATGATACAGTTTAATACTGAACATTGATGCACACACATTATAAGAACACACACAAGACTTTTTATGGATATGATTTTGGTATACGGTGAAAAATAAACTTTAGATTAAAACCATTCAGGTATCCTCATTTCCAGTTTGAGGAAAAAGAGAATAGCACTAAATGTAAGGTTGATGTATATACATTTGAATTTAAGACATTAAACTGATACATTTTAGAAGATAAACTTTTATCAACTGGTGAAAGAAGGTATGTATCAAAAAAACTTATAACTTGTACAAAAACCTTGTACAAATGTTGTGTACAAGTTATCATTTTGTACAAATTTTAATTTGTACAAAATATTGTACAAATTATAATTTGTATTTTGACTGTACAAATTATAATTTGTACAAAATGTGCTTGTACAAATTACAATTTGTACAAAATTTGACCAAAATTCACTTATAACTTGTACAACAGTTTTAAATACGAATTTTGGTGAAAAATGCAATGATTCACACGATAGAATTGTAATTAACTGACCACACACTCAACCTTATTACATAATACACTGTTTATACACAACTACAAAAGGCAGGTTGATCTTCGAAATTTTTGAGAGAAAATAAAAGTAAACAAATAGGATTTTTTTCAAATTCTTAATACATAAACGTCTTTTTCTTAAAAAAAAAATATCATTCAATAGTACTGCTGGATTAGTTCTCATCGTTATTTTGAGGTATTTTTTTTTATTCAGAAACTTTGCAAACAATTTTATTTGTAAAATTTCATATTTTGTATCGTGAAAGATCGTGTACAGTGTTTTCATGATCGTGAAAAGGATCTCAAAAGATTTGTTGCCACGTATTTGTTATATCTAAAATTCCATGAAAACAATCAAATCTTTCTTTAAGCAAGTGATAATTTACATTTGTAATTGGTACATCAAAAGATTGCATTTACATGACTTATTCCGCATCACTTTTGATGGTTCAATGCCATTGGTGTCTGATGATTTTATAATACTACACCAACTAGTTTTCTTATAAAATAAAAGTCCGTCTGTCTGGTTTGCATACATTTTTTTTTTTTAAAGTTTAGATTGTCTCAACTGATTTCTGTTAAGTGTTATGTACAGTCATAAAACAAAGATCTGTGTTGAAAAAAAACATTGATAAAAACAAGAGGCTCTCAAGAGCCTGAATCGCTCACCTTAATTTTTTTGGTTAAATCTCTCATCAATGATTATTTTGGCTTTTCAATTTATTTAAATGTTCTTTGAATCGTCCTATTTTCTTCAAAAGCAAAAAAAAATCATTTTCTCGGCCATGTTTTTTCACAAAATGGAAAATAAAACACAATCTTTATTCTAGATACCCTAAGGATCATTCAGCTAAAGTTTGGTTGTAATTGGTTCAGTAGTTTCAGAGGAGAAGATCTTTGAAATAGTTTACGACGACGACGGACGACAAGTGATGGCAAAAGCTCACATTTCCTTTTAGGAAAGATGAGCTAAAAAGGCAATAAACAACTGACATATTCCTGACTTTAGCATAGTCATATTCCTAACCAAAATGGGTGTTTAATCTTCTGGGATATTTATTTTGTCTTAAAGTCTGACTGAAGCAGTTAAATACACATATTTATTCACAGCAACGGTTCCTGAGCTTCAACGCTCGCTATATGAAACAGTTAAAATGCCTGTAAAACAGGTTGTTATTGATTTGAGAGTCTAAAGATGCATACCTGTCAACCTGCGACGATGAAAATGCAGGTCATGACCTGCATTGAAGAATCAAATCTTAGGTCATAACGCGTACAAACTTTTTTGAGCTGAATTTCAGTATTTATGGTACATTTTCTTATAATGTATATCGAAGACACCAAAACATCAATGCATGTTCACTTGGTTAAGTCATTTTAAATCCTATTAATTATTATTTCATTGCACTTTTAAAGATTTTTATAAATTTGTGTAACACAGTCTCATGTCCTTTACTTTTTGTGGTGATCTAATACTAGAGGTTATTTTTCAACTGTAATTTTAACAAGTTTGAGACTACTGGCTTAGTAGCCTTAATATATACAATCTTTCAATTTACAAGGAAATTAGACTATGATAAAATATAGTAATACAGTTAAAGGAAGTATAAATGTAAAAAATAATTTTCAACTTTTTTTTAAAAATTGTATAAAGGTATAAAAATAATGAAAAGTTATTTTTCAATATGTATTTAGATTTTCAACCATAAAACGGAAATATAAGGAATAATTTTGAATGGTGACAAATAAGGGGAAGTAACTACACTACTTTTAATATGTTTGTAAACCAATAGTGCAATTTTTTTACGACCTAAAGCTTGGTAATTGGTGTTAATTAACAGTGTGTTTGACACCAAAGCTGTCAAGTGAAGCCATGCACTTAATGGGTCACTTAATTTGACAGTTTACATAGCTAGATGAACTTCCTGTTCATGGAAGAATTACGAATTTGCCGCTATTTCAAAGGAATATTACTTATGAAATCAATCTCAAGGCTAAGAAATACAGGTGAAATCGGGTCATTTTTGGAATTCCCGTGTCATTTCAATGACCCGGCGGGTGTCCCGGGTGATCCCTCAGAATTGTGAAAATCTCAGGTCACACCCGCTGAATACGGGTCAGTTGACAGGTATGAAAGATAGTGTGCAATACCTGATTCCATAAATCACCAGATCACCTGCTCAAACGAATGATAAAGAACTACTTTTAAATTTTGTAACTTACACATTGTAGGTGTACTGTCTGGTCATTTAGTAGCAATTCAATAATGTGTATCAATGCTTTTTTCGCCAAAATCCATATGAAAAATTATTGTACAAGTTATAAGTGAATTTTTGTCCTATTTTGTACAAATTTTAATTTGTACAAGCACATTTTGTAAAATTTACAATTCGTACAAAGTCAAATTACAAATTATTATTTTGTACAATATTTTTGTACAAATTATAATTTGTACAAAATGATAACTTGTACACAACATATACCTACCTGAGTGAGAGTAGCAGTGTACTTCCTCATGGAAACGCTTGTTATTCGGTTAGGGGCAGCAAGAGAGCATTCTGTACAAGTCTTTAATGATTCATAAGATCTAGCAAATAGATAGAAAGGTTAAAAGGACATGTCATGTGAGCATAGAATGATGAAACTATATCAACCCAGCATACGATGGTCCTATTTAAAGTTAAACCCAATTTCATTGAAATCAAACCAAGTTGAAACTCTGCTGTAAAATGGCAACCATTTTGAAATGCGCCGCCAAATTATTTCATTAGCACAATTCAACTCAAAATATCATTTAAGAAATAATTCCCGTGTCCTCCCCGAGGAGTCTGTATATTACATTTCATATTTGATATGTTAAAAACTACGAGCAGAGCAAATATATGTTGTTTGATAAAAATATATAATAAAACTTCTTAAATTTAAATATTTAAAAGGATAACGATGGAAATAACGTTAATATAAACAGTAAGTCCGTGCGCATGTGTCAAACATATTTTTTGTGCTCATTAGAACACGGCTTTGTTTACAAAGTGTAATAAGGACGTCATATTAGAATTTCACATTTAAATACCTTTCATGTTTAATTCTATACAATAGAGTATGAAATAATGAGCAAAACTTTATTTTTGGCTCCCAAGTTATATTTTTAGTAATGGTGGTCATGTTTTTCATCAGATCAAAAATCCCCACAGTACTTTTGTTGAGGATACCTTGAGGAACAATTGTGCTAATTTTGGTTTGATACTTTTGTAGTCATTCAAGTTTTTATTTTATAACATGGAAAATGTCAAAAATTTGTGAAATAGGGAAGTAACTCCAATAAACGCCAACAGGTTTTCACGAAAATTTGTATACCAGTATACTGAACATTTTTACATTGTCAGATTTTGGCTAAATCTAATGATTACACTGTAAAAAATGCGACTGTCATGTTTATATAGGAGAAACCAAAAGGACTTTAAATAATAGGATCAAGGAATATTTAGCTGACATTAAGCATAACAGGGATAAGTAGTGGCAGAACATTTTAATGAAAAAGACCACTGCCAACAGGACATGACTGTCCTGGAACAAATTTATGAAAGATCTACAAATTATAGGAGACATATTGAAGCATGATGGATGGAAAGATTGAATACAACCAGACCATTTGGAATAAACATAAAAACTGAATTTTTTTAAAGTAAATTAAATAAAAACTAATTTTATTATGACATGCTTCTTTA